CCCAGCCACACCTCCAGAGCCCATGTGCTCAGGGAGTCCTTGTCCCCACTGCATGGCAATGAGAACCCACCTTTGGGCTGAGTGACTGCAAAGCTGAACAGCACAGCCTTCCTCCTGGCCTGACACTGGTTCCTTCTGGTCCCTCAGGAAAGGGCCTAGACAGAGCCAGCTTACAAAGCCATATTTGAACTGTGATGAGCCAAGTGCCAGAGACATCTATTCCTCCTCAGTGCCTAAGGCTGGGAAATACCGTCTCAAACACTCCATAGGTATTCAAGTCTAAGTTGAACTCAAAACATAGGGAAGGCCCTCTTTTACTGCTTCACAGTTGACAAGCTCAAGGGCTCTTTAAGGAAGAGCTTTCTGCCCTTTATACTGCTGCGCTTGTCCCCCTTGTCTACTTGCAGAAGCACCTCACGTTACATACCAGGTAAACAGGAGCAAAGTACAGCAAGGCTACTGCTAAGCTCAGAAGACTTTCACAAGAACAGCTACCCCTGAAAACCACACTAAAGTCTTAGAAAGATACTAGTGTCTTTCATTTTAATTAGAAGGAACAAGTGAAGTAAGTCCAAAGGAGTAAGCTCAAATGGGTGGTTAACAGTCCTCTTAGGAAGGGAATAGCACCCTCTTCCCCCTCCCCTCCACATTCCCAGGTTGTTGGGCAGGAAGAACACACATCCTTCCTTCCAGTCCTCCAAACCAAAGGTATTCAGTTCTTGGAGTAAAAACTCCATTGCAGCAAGGACACAGGTCAGTTCCAATTATTTATTTGTAGCAGCATTTGAAGTACACCAGGTACTTGAAGCTCTTAAGATAGAGATCAGGAAGAATACTTTGTACAGTAAGTATAAAAAGACAACTTGACAGTTAAAACAGGGTGACCTCTCACTCTTGGTATGAGCAGAGCTGACTAGCTCTGAAACCAGCTTATCAACAGTTTAGCAATCTTTCCAGCCAGCTGTTATAACATATGGCCCCACATCCAGGGACAGCTCACAACTTTCTGCAGCAAGGTTATCTATGAGTTGAGGCAAGGTGGGGTATTTCCATTATAGGGCTACCCAGGTCTTCAGGAGCTTTGCTTGAGATACTTTAAAGAGCCTGGCTTCCTGTAAGGTTCAGTCTTGAGCATGTCTGGAAAGTACGCTCCAACTTTGGTGTACAAGGGGAAAAGCAGCTCTTCTGAAAATGGGGCCTTCAAGTACTTGATTAGCCACAGGTATTGTGCCCAAGCCATCTGGAAAGACTGGTAGAGCCAGGACTTGGAACGCCACCCCAGACCATTGCCTTTTCTCCACCAAGCCAGATTGTTAAACTACACGTTTTCAGGCTGTTCCTGAACTGTACACAGTCCAGTAATGTTTTTAAGACAATGCTTTGCTTAACTGTGTTAAGACAACTTCCACCTACACTAGGTCTCCAGTTTTGTGCCAGAAAAATCCCATACCAGAAAGACTACATATTTCTCTTCAGTTTTCACATTTCCATTTTCAGGAATTGTTCACTTTCTGTAGAGAAGGAAGATGGGTTCTGAAGTCATGTGCCTGCCGAACAGCAGTCATCATAAATAGCACCAGAATGAAGAAAGCCCATGTCATGGATACAAGCCTGTTATCCACTGAGACAGGCCTTACTTATCTAGGAGATCATCGTATCTCTCCAGAATCTGCTTCTCTAGTTCCAACAGCTTTTCATAAAACTTTTCAGCAATTTCTTCATCGACATCAATCTGAAAGAGAACGAAATCAGTACTGAGACACCACTTTGACAGCAGCCAGCACAAATGCTGAGGGCAGCTCTAGGGATAGTAGGATGCATCTCCAGAATTTTTGAATTCAGATACATATCCAAAGGCATCATTTCCAGCCACAGCACAAGGCTGAGTGTTTTGGAGCAGCACCATGACACCCTGTTCTCAGCATTGTCTCCACTGTCAAACCAACAACAGGCCACAGGGAGAATGAGCCTGACTCAATCCAATTTGTGGTACAGCAACAGCGTCCCAGGCAAGAACACAGGCAGAGTGCTTCTGCAATACCCATGTTTCACTGCCACTGGCTATGTTTAGCAGATAACTTCTTTGCTACCATCTCTAGATCACTTACTCTCCCCAGCCCTCCCCCCACCTCACTCCACTGCTGCTCAGCATTCAGCATGCATCTTACTTCCGTTCCACCTGCAGGACACTGGTGCTATGCACCAACCCTTCCATGAAAGGAGGGCAAAGTAGGACCCTAGCCAGGTCAAGTCACCTGCAGAAGGAATCCATTTTCACATTTACCTTTCTGGGCTCCACGTATTTCTTTCCTAGTCCAGAAGTACAGCTGTGGTATTTGACAAGTGGATCCAGGGACTCCGGCTTTTGTTTGAACAACCACACCTAGAAAGAACAGCACAGCTGTGTACAGAATTCAGCACAGTCCCAGCCAAGTAGAGTCAAGGACCTGGCTGCTAGTGGACAGAGATGAGCACACCGCAGGTGCTTTTACCAAGTAGGTGAGGGATCTGATGGCCAAAGAAGAAATTTTGACCTAGCTCCCCACAGCTGCAACTCACTTGAGCAAAGAATAAACCATACAGTTCGCACCCCGCAGTGTGAAAGCATTTATAAGTGGTCCATGTAGCTAAACTTGCTCACTATTGTACTTGATGCATTGCACCCTGCATTCCCATCTCCTTTCCTCCTGACTAAGTGCCCATGGCTGCCAGACTGCAAGCAAGTAGAACAGTATTCCCCCTGACAGATGATTTCAGAAAAACTGTTCCTTCCATTTATTTTATGGGGACCTGATGAAGGCATAAAACATCTGTTGGATCAGACCTGATCACAGCTGGTCCCCCACTATTCACTGCGATACACTCTTCAGAAGGAAAAAGCACACCTGTCAGCCCTATAGAGGGGCTACTAGGTCAAGCTAGCAGATACTGGGAAGAGCTAACTGGAAAAAAATACTTAAGAGTTGTGAACTACTTACATGAGCTTCTGCTCCATTATACGGTGTCAGAGTGTAAGTTTTGGCAAAAAAACGTATCTGAGAGAAAAGAAACACATGCTAGAATCTGCGCAGTGGCCCAAGATTTTTGGCAAGCCCCCTGCAGCCCATCAACACAAGATCTACCACCACAGGTAGAAATGCTTTCTGAAGCTCACTACAGTTAATACCACATTTATGACTAACACAACCCTTTACAGTCACATGCTCACAGTTCTCTGGAGTCACCCATCAGTCAGCAATCCTTGTGCCACACCCCTGCACATCTGATCCCACAGTAAAAGGCAATGTGCCAAAGAGGTGCCTTCTAGGCACCTTTTCTTGAATGGTCTCAGCATTGCATGAGGGAGAGGCAGAGAGAAGCTGCAATACTACCAGCATGGCAGAGCAAATGAAGTTAACCCACTGACAGGAGAAAGGTGATCTGTCAGCATCAGCTGCCAGCTTAGACAGCTTAAGCAAAAAGGCAGATCTTGTAGCAGCAGTACTAGGGCTCAGAGCAAGCAGCCTGCCTACAAGGACATACCTATACTGAATCTGGAAAGCTGAGGCCAGGGAGAAAAGCAAGAGGCTTTTAGAAAGCAAGAGGAGAGGCAATAGAAGGCAGGAGGCTTTGCTTACCAGAGGTACGAGAAGAACACTGAAAATAGTCTGGTGTTCTAGAAGCAAAAAGCATTGCAGAGTATGGGGGACAAGTTTTGTACACAGCTATGCTGCCACTGGAATCCACGAGACTTTATAAGCCAAGAACATACTGGCAAACCTTCTAAAGGGGAGCCCTGATGAGTGCTGTAACAGTTTAAGGGCTAAATTGGGTCTACTCACATAGCTGTCCAGCAGCATCAACTCAGGAGGTCACAGGAACTCAGTTTGGGAACCAGGCCTCAAGATGCCAAAGGGCAGGTTTCAAGGCCTGGCTAAACCTTCTCTGCTTCTCATTTCCACTTTTGCTTTGCACAAGCAACCCACAACAGAATTGAGATATTGTTATGTAGCTCCGCCCAGTTCCAAGAGGTTGCAGCCCCTGCAGCAAATCTTTTCCCTGTCACTGTCCAAGCTCTGTGCTCAACCTATCCACTGGAAGACCAGCCCAAGAGAAATATAAATGCAGAATCAATCCCCAAGCACAGTCCCTTCTCCCCCTGCTTTCAGCTAACCAGACCCCAGGTTATGGGCATTAGCACTGCTGCCACAGCAGAACAGTTACAAGAGCCAGAGCAGCGAGTGAGCTACCAGCATAAGCAGTAGTGCCCACATGCCTGTGGGTTAAGGGGATGTTAACAGCCTCTCTCCACTGTACCCCATGCTCCAAGGAGCTCCAAAATGAAAAGGAGATCACCACCTCTCCCTCCACAGAAAGCCTGCTGCTTCAGAAGGTCAGTAAGTCACTGAGGGACCTCCAGCTCCTCTGAAGGGAGAGCCAGCTCCCTTCAGGATCACCCTGCCCATTCCAACAGAAGGAAGACAGCTGTGAAATGCTAGTAGCAAGGAGCCACAAGCACAACCCATTTATCACTTGCTGTGAAGTGCATCTCTGCAGTACACTACTCCAGCCCAAAGAAGCTCCAGAACCCAGCCTGGAGTTCCACTTACCAGCCACATGATAGGCATGAGCAGCATCCACAGAAAAACTGGCAAAATTCTGTAGGTCATGTTAGACATAACAAGACCAGGACAAACAACACTGGAATACAGGCCCTGCAGAGAATAAATGGAGTCAGCGTGGAAACAGAATAGTTTAATCGCAAATGGGACAAACCCCTTCCCTTCCTAGCAAGGGAATAAAGATGAGTATAGAGAAGGGATTACCAGAGGGTGCTCTCTTCTCCAAAAAGACCAGAACTAGAGCAATCTGATGTCTAAGTCTCTAATTAGAGAGCCCAAATTCAGTAATTTGGGGCCAATCGCAAGCCCATGACAGAAGACAGTCCCCTAACACACCAGAATCCCACACTGGTAGTCTCAATACACCTCAACAGCTATAGCAGCCACCCAACAAATTACAGCCCACACTAGTACCTCAGAGGCCCATCTTTAAGAGGTGAAGAATTCAGGCTTCAAGAATCAGATTTTTCCTGAACTCAGGGTTCAAGCATTTCAGAAGAAAGTGCAAGAGCAATCACTGACTAGCACTGCAGCCTGCCAACAGAATCTGACAGTCTGTGACAAAGGCAGACTGCTCACGGGTCTTAGCGTGGCAAGCTTGAATACTGGCTGCAAGCAGCCCGCAGAGCCTGTACCTCAAGTGCCTGCAGGCAAAGCTGCCTGAGCAGTTTTGTTGTGATAGACAGGTACACCAGAAGTAAAGGGCAGTCTGAGAGCAGTTCTTTGATCTTTAAGGCCAATTCTTTGGTCTAGAGAGATCAAGGTAGCATCCTCTAATTACTTCTGCTTTCAGATAAAATCCATTACCAAAAATCCTCAAAGACCAAACAGCTTCCACAGCATATTCCCCAACCAGGAAGACTTGCAGTCAGCAGTTTAACTGCTTTCTACCACCCCTACCACTGGTTCAACCTCAGCTTAGTTCTTACATGTGCATTAAGGAATTATCAGAGTACTATGAATGAATGCAAATAGGTAATAACCTAATGATAGTTATAAACAGGAGCTCATTGTTTCTTCAGAAATACAAACACCATCGTTACCTGCTTATTAAGTTTCCTGTTTAAAACCACACTTGTCAGGTCAGTTGCATACTTAGAGGAACTGTATGATTCCTGTCCCTTGGCATGCTGATAGTCAGAGAGGCTAAAGGCAGACTCCCTGGCATTGCTGGAAGAGGTCCAGATGAGTCGGGATGGCTTTTCATTACCACAGAGTAGAGATTCAAGTTGTCGAACCTGCAGAAGCATTGTTCTTTAGCTTATTTAGCACAGTAATTCTAAAATTCTACAGCCATACCTTAAAAATCAAGATCAGCTTGCAGCTTTGAGACTTTCCTAGACTTGGCCAGTCTCCACTAGACTAGCCAGCACACACATGCGCCACTACATACAAGGAATATGCCAAAAGGAGCCACTACTCAGATATAACTCAACCCAAGCTCCACCAGGAACGTTTCATAATCAGATTGCACCTCAGTTTAACAGAGCCAACCTTGAGATTACATTAATCCTTGCAACAACTGTCACCATTTGTTGCAATTTCAGCAAAGCTCAGGACTTTGTTCTACAGCCTCCTACAAAGGGGGCAGGGAGCAGACCACAGAAGGGGACAAAGCCTGCTGTCCCTTACAAAGGTCGTTTATTCTTTATCAGTCAGGCTACAGTCTGCATCAGAACATCAGAACCTTAAGGCAGAACCAATGCATCAGTACCCTGCTGTATCCATCACTATCCATGTTAGCCAGACCTAGAGTTTGGTCTTCAGATACAGCCTCACCAGTATGAAGTGTCCAAAGAGGTTGGTAGCAAACACCTCCTGCAGTCCATCTCCATTAAGCCTATCTGTCTGGGTCATTACTCCCTCTGCAGTAGTCAGCATGTGAAGAATCTTCCTGGAAGTCAAGGACAGGAGTTAGAAAAGAACACTGCAGGGAGATATCCACTGCTCCCTGCTCTTCCAGACCAGCACTTCAGTCACTCAGAAGCATCCTTCATTTCAAAGGCTCCAGACAGACCCTCTAGTTTCCTTCTCCCCACTCTTGCAGCATGTTCTATTAATCCAAGAAGAGCTGCTGGCCTTCTAAAACTTAATTCTAGCTTTTTTTGCTAGAGTCCCAGTACTGGTTAAACTGAAGACAACTCTTGTTCCATAAGCTTCCAGCCTATAAAGTTGCCATCGCATTAAATAACCATGAAAGAAGTTTTGCTTTCCCATTTCCTATTCAGACAATGAAATGGAGCTTCAGTTTCATTGGATTCAGTTTCATTAGGATTAACTCTAATTCAGATGGGGAAGGTGGTCTGGCATTGACACGCAACACCAACCACATGAGACTCAACACAAGTCACATCGCTTCCCAGCTCAGTTTCCCCATCTGCAGGCTCAGAGTCACCTAATACAGTTTCACAAGACACTCAATAATTCACAGCTGAAAGGTGCCCCAACAACCTACAAGAGAACTAGCACAAGGGTGAAGAGAGCCTGCAAGAGCAAGGCTTCCCTCTCCGAGGGGGTATGAGCGTTTTCCACTGAAGTCTCAGTGGCCACCCAGGCCCCGGCGCAAGCCGGGGAGCAGCCCGGCAGGACCCCACCTCACCACAGCCACCCCGCAGGCTCCTACCCGGTCAGCAGGCCTTGCCAGAGGGCCTTGAAGTTGACATGCGGGTTGGGCATGATGCCGGCGTTGAGGTAGACGAAGTCCAGGCGCTGGAACCTGCGGGGGAAGCGCGGCAGTGAGGGGCGGCCGCAGGGGCCGGGCCGAGGCGGGCC